TTAATGTTTGTTGCAGACTTCGCAAGATTGTGGTACATTTCAAAACATTTATACCATGTCAGAAACCTACACAACGCATCAAATTGCTCTATAAATCCTACGCAGTCTAAACAGGACTGGAAAACAATCAGGGTCCTGTTTTGAGGGGGAAAGGCTGTGGGCGCCAATATGCTTAAGTTGGAACAAAAGAATTTTCAAGACGATGTATGTGATGATAATTCACTTCCACTGTCCAGATGTTCCTCTGCACTTTCAGCTTTCTAGACTCGTTAAAGTTGTTTTGGACATTGCTGGAAAAGCTGTGGAAGCTAGAAAGAAGCTGCCATCGGCTAAAAAAAAGCTATCGATTAAAAAGCGCAATTTGAAACCCCTTTTTCGTAAGTGGATCTGCAGAGGAAGCAATCAAATTTTGAAATAAAGTATAGAAAAAAGGAAACCTTGGCCTGAAGAACTTGCTTATAGGAGTTATTTCGTTTGCAGATTGTCATAAAATAAAGTTTTTTTATAAAATTCTGTCGTCTGCGATTGCTAAAAGAAGGTGGACTTGTAGCAACGAAACGCAGTGTATAGTTTGATTTTCAGATTTGCAGCACAAAATGACAGAAATAACGATGCTTTTACTGAGCGTCTTTTGTTGTTTCGTAGCCTCTTTTGCACAGACGGTAAGGACGGAAACGATCACCAGGGTATGTTTGCTGTACATCATTGCAATAACAAAGACATCTGCACGTGATTATTTGTCGTTACTACTGAGCGCATCAGCAGCAAAACAAAGCGTAACCGGCTGTCATCGTAGGCAAATGGAGCAAATATGTGGACGTGATTGATTAGATTTGGTGGTGAGGGAGATATCATTAGAAAATAATATGTAATTGGATTGTTGCTTTTCAAAACGACCCAGAATTGTAGAATTATGGATTGCCTACTATTTCTTTCAAAATATCTATCTTTGAACTGTAATTTTAAAACAGAGAACATTTTTACTTCGATCAAAAGACTTCTGAAAATTCTTACTGTTTGGTAGCTATGTGAACTGTAAGCTAAGAAGCCTTGAAGTGTGTAACCAAGCAGTTTAACGCAGAAACCCTAGTTCTTACATTTTGGACTAGGTTATCATAAACTAATTCAGCAGGGTAGAGACTAGAATTTTTGCGTTAAATCAGTCACATGTAATTTCTCCAATAGTCAAGGCGGTGTTTGCATATCTACATTTCCCAACAAATTTTGGAATGGTTCGCGGAAATAAAGGTAGGATGAGGTGAAGGGAACTTCTAAATTTTTCATATCAGCTATGCTATTCGGTTACAGGAAAAGAAAACAAAGAAACATCGTAGTATATCTGCAGTAAAACGTCTGCAATAATGAAGCACTGCTAGAAAATCAAAAACTCAACTATACAACTGAAGCAGTCTTAAAACGATTGAGCAATTGAGATGC